GAATCCTGACACTGATTGCCTCTTTTCTTCCTAGCCACAGAGAACTTGACATCTTCTTCTTCCTCCCAGCTCCTCCCCTGGTGCTTTTGCTACTTTGAAGGCCAAGCCCTCCATGTGCCCCATGGAGCATCACAGTCCCTGGCAATACAGCTGCCCTCCCATCCTAGGGCCTCCCACAGATGGCCATGCACACTGCTCTAGGTGTATAGCTGACAGGCTATACCGGTTTGCTCACAGCTGTCCCTGGTTCCCCAGCATCTTCAGGACTAACTTCTAACCCTAGAGCACGCCCCCACCCCCACACCACATCCACATCCGGGGCCCATCCTAAGCAAGTTAAGCGTGCACACAGACACACGAGAGCGCCTTGTCTTTTCTCAGTGTGCACCCAGCCCTATGCAGCAAGTGGCTATGGGTTTCCTTCCTTTCTTCTGCTCACACCCTCTCTGGTCTGGCCTGGATTACTTCTACGAGTTGAGCAGACCTTGGAAACAGTTCCCTATCCAGGAAGGGGCCTGACCCACAGAACCATGGTAGTGACATGAACGGGACTTTGTCCTGGATTCAACACAGGGTCAACCCTCAGCAGCCACATAAGTATGAGGCCAAATAAAACATTAAAGTCCATCTTGAATTTAAGTTTGATGCCACCTCCAAATCTTCCATGTCCATCTTGTGTCCAGCAGAGCTTAAGGTGGGGTGGTCAGCCAGACTGTTAACTCAGACTGACAGGGTACAGAGCTCTGGCAAGCCTATTTTCCTATGTGTAAAAAGGGGAGAATGGGCCAGAGGGTGTCTGAAGCTCAGTCAGAGGGCTGATGAAGAGGCGGTGCCTTGCAGCTCATCCACCTGCTTGTAGGGACGACTCAGGCAGGTTCCCACTCTCCCAGTCTCAGGGAATGTCTGAAGAATGCTGCAGATCCTCAACCCTCTCTAGATGTAGGGAAGGAAGGGCTATCCCAAGGAACTATCTCAGGAACACCTGAAACACCCAATTCACTCTACTCTTCAGAGGAATATTTTGTCACTGTCAACCTTGTCATCAGAGGTTTTGTTCCAGAGAATGAACATTCTGGAGGCCCCCAACATCAACTCTCAGCTCTACACTGTGACCTGTGCAGCTAACTAGGCTTCCTGGCTGCCCAGACACCTTCATGGCAAAGAGTGCAGGTGTCACCAGCCTCACGTGAACGCGGGCTACTATATGCATAAAACCTTATCCTTTTCTAGGAAATGTGATGGCAGAGGGTCATTTCCCCAGGACAGAACACTCATTTGTCTCCAGGGTACAAAATAAGTGCTTTTGTGACGGTCACCCTTGGGAGAGGCATGGCTCTCGCTCTTTACATGGAAGGTGAACAGCCTTCTGACTCTCATGTCTTAGATCAGAAAGAGGGGACAGGAAAGCCCATCTACCCTGAAGAAAAAGTCAGATCAAAGTTTGAGCCCCACATACCCAAGCCCCACTCTTCCCACCTGGGCTGACTTATTGTCTCTCATCACTGTGCCCAGCTCATCAGGCTCCCATCCAAGGCCCAGTGCCGCCTTTGTTGGCGTGAGGCATGCCTTAGGAAAAGCTCCAGTGATCACATGAGCCCTGGAAAGGGATGCTTGGATGAATCGAATCTTCTCTCTGGGGGTCAGGAACCTGAGATGGCTAGGGAGCCAGATACCCTGCTTGATTAGGGTGACATCCCAGCCACCTGCCCTGTGGTGTCAGCTGGCACCAACAGACTGTGTCTCTAGTCTGCTCTTGATATAAAAACAGGCAGGGTGGGTAGGAGACAATTCTGGATGATGGATGGGTAGGCCAGGGAATGGCCCTCAGAGGCAGCAGAGAGGCTGTATGTGACACAGTTGGACTGGTCCCAAGTCTTGACCCTAACACTCACTATTACTTAGCATTGCGAATCTGCCCCCATTTACAAAAGGGATAAATCACAATGGTACCCACAGCAGGTGCTATGAAGATCACGTGAGGCATTACAAGGACAGCTGTGGGCAGCCCTTGGCTCATGAACCCCAAACTCTTTGGAAATGAGCTCCTCCCTCTCCTTTGCTCTGTGGTGCAGGTGTTCATCAGTAGTTCTGGGGGCAGGCAGGCGCACATGCACACTCATGCACACACGCATGTACACACAAAACTTTTACACAATCATACTAGAATAGCCAGGCTTATCCACAGGTAAGATGAGGGGTGTTTGGCCTTGTATATCATATCTCCCCACTTTCTGTGTAAATACTATCATTAGAATAAGTACAGATGTCTAAAAGTCATACTGGTGACTGTGCCAGCCACAGTTCTAGGCATTTCAGATCAAGAACTGTTAACTCTTATGACACCCTCCCCTGGGAATGTAATTGATGACACATGGAGGCTCAGATGACTGGGGTGACTTGACTGAATTCATGTAGCATGCCAGGATGCACCCCCTGAATTCTAGAGTACAGAACAGTTCTGCATGACAGGTCAAGGGGCCAGAGGCTCAGAGATAACAAGTCATTTTCCTAAGGTCCCACAGCCAGCATATGGCAGGGGCAGCCAGGGTGGAACAGCCTGATGATAAAGACAAAGCTATTAATCCTCCCACTCTGTAGTCTCTAAGAATAAAGGTAAACGCTGCAGGCCAAATTCTGGGTAGGGGGCCTGGAGACCCCAGCTGTGTGCGAGCCTGGCCCCCTCTGCCTTCAAGACCTTGGGCAAGTCCCCTCCTCCCCCTCTACCAGTTCTCCATCTGTCAAGTGAGCTCTGCACCAGATGATCCCCCAGTCTCTGCCAGCTCCGCCCATCATTCCCCTGGGATAAGGGGCCCCAGCACAGGGGCCATTGGCTGCTGGGGGAAGCAGACCTAGAGGGTGGAGGTTGCCCTATTCCCAGTGTAGTTATACCTAATGAGACCACTTTCCCCAGGAGGCAGGAGAGGCAGATGGGGGTGGGGTGTGACCTGAACCCCACCTCTCAGCACAGCCTCCTCATGAGGAGGCACATTTCTCTGCCACCATCTGCCTAAGTCCAAAGGAAGCATCAAGAGGAGTCTGAGTCTCTTTCTCAGGTGAGAGAGGTGGGGCTGGAGGTTTACCCAGCAGGGCACATGGGTTTCTAGAGATCTCAGGAGGAGGGATGGGAATAGGTGATGCTCCTCCTAAGATACTTCAGGTAAGTTCTTTCCAGGTAAGCCTCAGCAAGGTCCAGGCACGGAATGGAACACTCACTACTACTCCAAAATTAGCTGGCTCTCATTTTTGTTTGTTTGTTTGTTTTTCAAGACAGGGTTTGTCTGTGTAGTCCTGGCTGTCATGGAACTCACTCTGTAGACCAGACTGGCCTAGAATTCATAGAGATCTTCCTGCCTCTTTCTCCTGAGAACTTGGGCTAAAGGAATGCACCACCACTGCACACTTTTCTTCTCTCTCTCTCTCTCTCTCTCTCTCTCTCTCTCTTAATAAAGTAAAAACATCTTCCACTTCTGAATCCTCTAGTTTGGGCATTCATTCATCCATCTATCTACCGTGTTTGGCCTGGTGGTGGTGGTGGTGGTGGGATTGGCATGCCAAGGAAAAAGCTGTTGATACATTGAGGAATTGTCTACTATTAGTAACCCCAAAACCAGGGAGGAGAATTGCTGGGTTGAAATAGGTCAGCTTGTAAAAAGGATTCAAACAAGCTTGGGAATCACTTTGTTAAATAGACTTAAGTGGGTGTCCTTCCTTCAAGATTTCTTCAAAACTTCAGCAGGTAAATGTATAACAGAGAATTCTCTAATGGGGAGAATATGGGAGATACAGTATATTATCTCAATAAAGCTGATCTCAGAATGCTTCCTTTTAAAGTGCCTCTCCTGAGGCTGGAGGGATGGTTCAGCAGCTAATTGCTCTTGCTCTTGCAAAGGACCTGGGTTTGGTTCCCAGCACCCTGGTGATGACTCGTAGTCATTTGTAACCCCGGTTCCAGGGGATCTGACACCTTCTTCTGTCCTCTTGGGTACCACACATGTACATGGTGTGCATACGTACATACAGACAAATACTCATACACATAAGATAAAATAATTAAAAATAAAATATAATACTTATCGATAGAGGATATGAAGGAAAGTGTATTTCTGAGTATGTGTATATATTTGTATTTCTCTATATGTGCATTTCCCTTTCTATACAATCATATATGTATATACAATACATACATACATACATGTATGTCTGTGACAACGGGGAGGTTTAAGGGAGATTAGCTGCAGTTGAAGGCTGTGTTCAATTAAATACTCAAATGTTTTCATTTAGAGGACAGTCAACAGTGGTCATCAAGAGGTCCTGTCTAGTCCTGGCCTGTCTTCACCTTCCCCAACACCGTTGAGTCTAATTCTCCAAATCTTGAACTTTCATTTCCTAGTTCCACTCTCAATTGGCCTCTTCTCTGGTTTAAATCCAAAACGGCTCTTGCCACATTTGAACTTGATTCCCAACCTTAGATCCTCACACACCTTGACCTAACCCTTGGCACCCAAATTTGCTCTCTGGGCAATTTGCATGTCTTAAGCTTAAACCCCCCCCCCCCATGGCACAACCAAGGCCTAATTCTCACTATAGATCTCTAGGAACACCTGGAGTAACAAGCCACACCCCACAATGTCCCCAAACGTGCCACTGTGGCTGCATTTAGAATAGCACATTTCCCATCTCTCCACCCCGCGCTAGCTGCGACAGTAGTCCTGCCCTAGCCTGGAAGAGCTGATGTCTCTCATTCTGCCTCAGCCAGCATCTGGTCCAGCTGTGACTCCCTCTCTACCCATCGTTCCCACCCCACTCTCCACCTATCTCCTAGGCATGGACTCCCACCCCAGATCTGTCTCAAGCCCATTCCATAGAGAAATGCCCAAGGGCCACGCCCCCTTCTACTCCCCTCACCGCAACCACGCCCCTCTGGCATTAAGTCGGCCTGTGGCCCTTGCCCCCTCCTGGAACCCTGACCCCACTCACGCCCCCTCCTGCCAGCCACGCACCTGCAACTCCTCGAAGGCATCATCGATGCCGGTGACCTGGTGCTGCTCGTGCAGCGCGGGCTCGTCACAGAAGAAGCAGAGCAGCGCGCGGTCCGTGAGGCAGAAGAGCTTGACCTTGTCATGCGCCTGGCAGGGTCGCGCAGCACGGCGCGCGTTGAGGATGGCGTCCAGCGGGAAGGCGCTGTAGCGCTCCACGATGTTGGCCAGCTTGAGACTGGGCGCCAGCGCGGGCTCGGCGAACGTGCGCCGGCACTCCGGGCAGTCACGGGCGCCCTGTGCCTCCTGCCGCACCCAGTGTTCGGTGATACAGCGGCGGCAGAAGTAGTGCTCGCAGCCCAGGCTCACCGGGTCCTGGTAGATGCTCAGGCAGATGGAGCACAGCAGCTCGTCCTTGAGGCTGCACGCCATGGCGCCGGGGGCGGTGCGCAGCGGAGCCCGGGAGGCCGGCAGCCGGCGCGGCGCGATCGGGGGCGGCACCCGGGGGCCAGGCCCAGGGAGGCACGGGCGACAGGCGCCTGGGAGTGCGGGGGGCGCTGTCTGCGACGCGGGGGGCACCGTGGCTCGGTGCCGAGTAGGGGCCACCCGGGATGCGAGCCCCAGAGCTCGGTTTCGAAGCACTAGGTGGCCACCAGCGATGGGCGCTGGAGGAGAGAGGCCGAGGGCGTCCCAAGGAAGGGGCTCCAGGCGAGGAGGGTCTAGAGGACCAGACAGTCCCAAGGGATAGATGCTGCGAGGAGGAGATCCCGAAAGGGGGCGGAGGCCACAGTGGGGCTGGAATCCTGGGACCCGGACAGCTTTGAGCGGGGGTCGAGCTGGGGATGGGGAATTCTGCGGGACAGAGCAGCCAGACTCAGCCGCACCGCGGCTGTGCCCGGCAGAGCAGAGGAGGGGTGCCGGCCCGCTCAGCTGCCCGACTCTGGCCGCAGATCCCGGCCCCGCGCGGCCCCTTACCCGAACCAGCTCAGCGGCCACAGCTTCGGTCCAGCACAGCCTCTGAACCCGGAACCAGCCGAGCCGAGCTGCCCGGCGCCCAGGCTCCCTCTCCGCCCCCGCGGGCGGGACCCAAGCCGCTCCGCCCCCGCGGCGGGCGGAGGAGGGGCGGGGCCTCCAGGCTTCAGATCCCGACTGGTCTTCGCTGTGCTCCTGACCCCCAGAGACAAGAAAACCAGCTGTTTCTTTCTGGGTCTGCACAGCTACTAGGTTAGCTTAGGGTTATGGCGACAGGGGACGAGAGGACAGCTAACGAAGAAAAAGTGAGAGAACAGCGTCTAAGTAAGGATCATCTCAATGGACGATCAATTTTTGGATGATCCATATTTGAGAAAAATAATACTGAGTAATAATAATTGCTAACATGCTGTGGAGTCTGCATATAATATAACATTTGCATAGATTGTAGGTCTGAAATTGGAGACTTTCCCTGTTGGCTTAGGCTAAGTTCAAAGCTGCCACACACTGAAGCCCTCGGGTCCTATTTCCTCTTCATTTTCTTAGGAACACTCTTAGTAGAAGATTGTGGAGAGAACTTTGGCTAGTGTCTGGCCTCAAGGGTTCTTGCCATTCATCAAATGTTTCTGCATTGCTGCATTTGTGTGTGTGTGTGTGTGTGTGTGTGTGTGTGTGTGTGTGTGAGAGAGAGAGAGAGAGAGAGAGAGAGAGAGAGAGAGAGAGAGAGAGAGAACATCAGCATGAAAGGGAAGCTCACGGAAATGTACATACTGTTCTGTTTTGTTGGGATGGGATGGGATGGGATGGGGAAGGTGAAAGGTATGGGGGCCTTTGTGAAGAATTTACTGAAGGCGTTGGGCTTCCAAGCAGGGAAATGACCTGTCTTGGTTTGGGTTTCTTGAAGCGATGGATGCTCATGACATCATCAGGACAGAGAAGGCAAGGACTCTTTCCCATGCATGTAGTGCTGGGCACCCGAAAGGCATCACAGGTGAGTAACAGCAGCAAAGCGGAGGCTTGCAGGAGGAAGGAAAGGCTGGGCCCTGCGGAGGTGGTGGTTGTCTTAGTGCCTGCAAGAGGTCAGCTCTGAGTTCAGCTACTGACTATGGGTCAGGAGAAGGCCACCAGATTAAAAATAGATAGGCACTATGAAAATTAGTGGTGGATAAAGGGGGGTGATGGAGAGGAGGCATTGTGAGCATATTGCATGACTTTTCCTGTGGAGACATGAACAAAGGTTTATTCACCCCAGACAGGGCACTCAAGGCATAGTGAACCAGTGAGTTTATTGGAATTAGTTACAGGAGCAGGGGTGACTCAAAGGCAGCTGTATCTTTGAAGATCCCACCCCAGCATGAGTGACAACATGTAAGTTGGGTTCCCTGTGTAGCTTCATGTAGCTCAACATTCTGAGAGTCTCCTCTTATCAATTGCTTTAAGGTTTATATACCCTTGGGGAGGGGTTTAGTGAATTCCCTAACTGCACTTCTTGAGCCTGGGGAATTTTGTTTACTCTTGGGATCTTGTGAGCTTCTCTCCTTCTCAGAAGGAATATTTCATGCAGAGGAAATAACTCCACAGCAGGGTGGCCTGCCTCTTCCACAAGTGTCTTCACCAGAGTTAAACTTTACTGCCTCACCCTCCAGCACCCTTCACATTGTGAGACACACGATGGTTGCTCATGAGACAGCTATTCTTGCATCCAGAGTCTGGATTCTGTTCAACTGACTCTCTTTCCAATATGGTCACAGGAAGGCAGACTTGAGCCCAGCGCCAGGAGGGAGCTGTATTTGATCTCCATGATGATTGCATTCCTCCTGTCAGTAATGGGTTGGTCATGTCTAGCTTGGAGAAAATCAGAAAGACTAAGGGTAGGAGAGACTTCTGGAAGTAGTCTCTTCATGCTTTGGCATTAGAGTAGCCATGCTGTGCCTAGGCCGAGCATGCAGCCAGTGCCTTAGAGAGAGTAAAGGGTTCACATGGCCCAAGGTAAGAGGAACTGCTTCTTTGGTACAGATTCTGGGCTTTTGGATATGTGAGATGGTCCATTTTATTGCTTAAGCAAGTTTCATAGTGGCAGACTGTCACTTGGCAACCTAAAGAATCCTGAATCCTGACTGATGTGTTGACACATAGTCCTCCACCACGTTTTTCTCTTTTCTTCCAAACAGAGCAGAGTCTCAATTATTGAGGCAACTGGAAAGAAATGGGAAAAACAGGCTTGGTAATATATAAAACAGGCTGTGTTGTTCAGTGTGTATTTACTGACATATGTGGACATTTTTACTGGGGTCTGAAATATTCTAAGCATTTTGTAGACTTGATGGAAAAACGATGTCAAAGCAGTCTTAACCAGTTTAGATCATGGTCCCCATTTTACGAAGGAAGGTACCAAAGTACAGAAAATGGGAGTGGAATAGAATCACTAGCTGACCATCAGAAGCCATTTTTAACTCTACCAGAGAAGCAATTGAAGCCCTTTGCAGTGGATTGTAAGGAGAAATAGACCATGTCCTTCCTTGTACTGTGTCCCCTTGAGTTGAACTGCTTATATGCCGGGAACTTGGTTTTAGTAATCCTTCAAAGGGCTAACAGAGCAAAGCGATGGAAGAAACCTGGGATCCTTAATGACTGAATGGAATGGGACCTCCCACTGACATGGATGTGAAAGAATGGTGTGAGCTAAGACAGAGATTGTTTCTAAGAAATAACATCAAGACTTTTTAGAGGGGAAGGGGGAATTTTCCAATAGATATTGTTGAGTAAACAACAACAACAATGGAAAAACCTCATCTGCAGACACTTAGACATGGGCACATGTGGACTTACAGACATGTAAGTCCACACACAGACATGAATTTCAGACCCAAAGATCTGCAGAACCATGTAGCAATTTTAAGTGTGTTCAGCCATGGACTGGAGTTGTGAGAGACTTTAACTTTTACACTACTTTAAAGATTTAATTGAACTTTGTTATTTGTGGATTTCACATATGCAAATTCACCTTCTCTTTAAATCTGACCTGAAAACCAATACTTGGGGTACCAATTGTAGATTAAAGATATTTAAAAAAAATCATTGGTGCTAAACATGAACAATCTTTTAAATTGCCATTTTCCCTTTATCAATACCTACATATAAAACTATGTAGCATTTTCATATGTCAGATACCATAAGCAATCGAGAGATGATTTAAATCTGTGGGTAACATGTATAGGTTATATAAAATACAATGCCATTACACATGGATTTGAACACCCATGGATTTTTGGTTAACACAAGAGTCCCCAGAGATCTTGAAGGATTGCTGGATATTTTAAATAAAGTTTCTTTAAACAGAAGCATGCATAAAATGTAGTTGCATATTGATAGATGGCCAAAAATGTGTTCAGGGACTTGCAGGAACCCAGCCCCATGTTTCCTCTCGGGCAATGATTCAGTATTTACAGTCAGTTCTTGCAGTGACTTTATAGACCATAACTACCTTGAATAGTGAGAGGCGGCTATATTTAAAGCAGTTATGTGTAACAGCACCTACCAGTGCAAGGTACCAACACCCACGTTCCTTTATGCTGGCTCAGGCCATTGGCAGGGGAAGAGGAGGAGGACAGTCTGATTGACCCTCTTGGGCCATGCACTGATCTAGGTGCTTAGTGCCATTATTTTATAAAAATTTCATAGCAGTCCTTTGGAGTTGATGTTTTTCTCTGCAATTGCAGAGCTGGAAACTGCTTAGAGCTGCAAAGTGGCCTGTGTGAAATGAAACCCAGTATGTGATAAAGCTTCCCTATAGCTGTTGGAGCAAGCTTCACCGAGTTCTCTGTCTCCAAGTGGCCTTGTAGTTCCCAAGCACTCCCCATGGGGTAATTCTGAGGTGGGACCCTACTTCATCCCTCCCCATCACTCCACACTTCACCCTAACCTTTCTAATTCAGGGAGACTCCCTGACTTCAGTGAGGGATATCACCTCCTACTGCCAGAGAGTAGAGCCCCTCCCTGCACAGGATTCTCCATTCCCAACACCCTCCAACAGGACCCCTCTAGGTATCTTTCCAAACACTGTAAGTGCTTGGCAGTGTGAAATGAACCTACAGATGAAGTCAACACATCCATCTTCATTCACGCACCTTCCCCCAGCCACAGGGGGTGAAGCTGGCCTGAGGTTCAAAAGGAGTTCCCTTTGGCCCTGGCCCAATCCCCTCAGGCCCCCTTTGGGATCTGACTCTTTCAATTATCTCCCTTCTTGACTCCTTTTCTGCCTCCTCCCTTGTCCAGGCTGCTTTTCCTCAGGCTATAAACATGCTCAAGTTTCTCCCCAAAGGACACTCAGCAGTTCCCACCCCATGGTCCTCCCTGCCAGCCACTACCCCTTGCTGCTGGCCTTTCTCTAGGCCAGCTTCTTGAAAGAATCCTCTGCACCTCCTCCCCTGCCATGTGCCAGCCCACGACTCCACTGAATTCACTAATAAGCTCCTAATTGCCAATTAAAAATAGCTTCTGATGTGCCTGAGCTGCGGTATGAAAACAAACTGGAGGAAAGAGATGAGGAAATTTAAAATATTCATGAGTCCTCCATCAGAAGGATGTAATACTTGGATTATATCCTTTATCACATGTAACACACAGAGAAAGGAGACACACACACACAGAGAGAGAGAGAGAGAGTGAAAGAGAGAGATCTTTAAAAATAGCCATGTATTCACTCTCTAAAGCAATGTGTCTTAGTGTGGCTTCTTCCAAGAGCTGAGATAGAGAGAAAGATCCCAGGAAAGATTGTTTGGGGAATGCACATAGCTGGGATAGGGAAGTGGGAAAGCCAGGTGGGAACGAGCACATTTTTATCACAGAAGACAGCTAGAAAGTCGGCCTGCAGGAAACCCTGGGCAGTGATCCAAAACACTTATCTCAGAGTCATCTCCCTGAAAGTGCAGGAGTTGAGGGTATTCACTGCCATCTTGGAGTGTGGCGATAGCACCCTGAAGGCCTTTGACTCCTTGGATTCAGTGAGCAACAGGCAGCTAGCTAGCTCTCAGCGGTTCTGGGGCTAGTAGATGCCTTCTCTC